AGGAACAGCAAAGGTAGCACTGAGTGAGGCTCTGTTCCCACTGTCAGAGGCATGGATATGAGCTATTCTGGAAGTGCAGTGTGGGAGCAAACACTGGAGTGACATGGGAGATGGCACAATGTGCCTCACTTCTGGCTACCTTCAAGTGAAAGAGCCCTCTCTGTACTGTAGCTTTATTGAAAAAGTATGCATGTGCTGTTAATGTGCAAAAAGATAGGTGAGATGATCCCTTTCCTTTAACCACAGAATATTCTAGAGGGATTTGGAAAATGTTGGCTTCCACTGGGATCAGTAGGAGAGAAAGAAAAATTACCATGTTTATTTCTGGGTCCTCCCTCCAAGGCTTTGCGGGTGACAGACCCAGTGAAAGCATCCATCTCCGCTCTGTGCTCAGTAAGCAGAAAATGAAACAGAAGAGTCAGTGTGACAGTGAGTGATTTCAAGCCACTTGTAAAGGCATGCATTCAACCCAAGGCCATCAGCTCGGGAGCTCTCACAACAATAGGGTAAGTTTTAATAAAACCACAGTCACCAGAATCCAAAGGGATCTTGAACAAGACAAACAACAAACACAAAACCTTCTAAAATTCATGCTGCTCATCAAGGTACAAAAGTTCCCCAAGGCACTTTGTCAGGATTTAGAGTTACTATGGGTATTTTTTCCTGTCCTTGTTTGTCTGCAGCCCAGCTCAGCTCAAGAAATTCCTCCCAAAACTAAACTGCACCAGCAAATGATAATTGCTGCTCTTCTCTTTTTGTCTTGGGAGATCTGGATAAACTGCATAGCTCCTTTCACAATGCCTTGGTTTCCTCAAACCATTTGTTAAAGGCTGGATGCAGAAGAGTGACTTTTTTGTAAGTATTGGGACTGATGGAATTTTTGCCATTTGCTAATAAACTCACAGTGTATTGCTCTATGCAACATACATAAATACGCTATTTGCCAGAACAGGCTACTCAAAACTGCACTAAGGTGGCTCACAAAATTTTAGTATCGTGTTCTCTTCAACTTTGAACAAGCATTGAAAAACACAACAGGATCTTTTTCAGTGGAGTCCTAGATGCTTAGATAGAGATATGGACTCACTCCAACATTATCAGGACTCCAGTGTTTGGATTCTGAAACATGATAAAATGGCATTAAAATGCCAAAATAATAGGCACTTTTTTACCTGGATCTTCCTGAGACCAAATAGTGTCTTTATCCAGCAATCTGTATTCAGCCTTTCTCTTCATCTGTTCTGGAGTTTGCACTAAACACAGCCAGGTGATTCAGCCTCTTACCTGTGATTTGGGAGATGAAAGACCAAAGCGAAGCGCTGTGTCTGGGCCAAGAAGTAGTTAATTTTTCTATATGAAGTGGAAAAGTTGTAATGGGAGGCATAGAGAATGTTTTAATCCATAACAGATTCAATGGGAGTCAGAACTTTGCAAGCAAAACTATGCAACGGACAGGTTCAGAAAGTGGCTTTGGGCAAGCGAGCTAGAGACTTCAGGCTGGCTTTTGTGCATCTCAGTTGCAGGTTTTAAACACTGGCTGGTGGGATTTTTCCTCTCTTTCTTTTACTGGATAAAGACCAAGTTTGAAATGAAAAATCCCAGCCTGATTTTCAAAAGGAGATTCCTTTTTTACCATCCTGTTGTAATTTTCAGCTTTTTTTGAGCACGTGTGCTAAGATATGCTTTCTGCTGCAGCAGAGATCAATAGCAAATGATACCTTTGAAGAGGGAGATTTAAGAGATTCTGCAGGAAATCAAAGGAAACAGCATTATACAAGCCATTTCTTCCTTGTTGACCTTGTATACTATTTGTTCTTTCCAAGCAGTGGCTAGGTGTATATATCCCAAAACAGTAAGTTATAAAGCAATTTGAATAATAAAACAATTACTTCATTGGAGTTTCACAGTCAATGTATTCTGAAGGCTTCGTCTCTTGCCCCCCTCAAAAAAGTGTTGAAAGGGAACCAAGAGTGCAATTTTCACCTTTGATAGCTCAGTCTAACAATTATGTAGGCAAGGCCTTCCTACAAGCCTTATTTTAAGGTAGAAACATGTATTGAGGTGAGAATTGCTGCTTTCTGCATTTCTTCATGAAACAATGCAAACAGGCTCTTTTTAACATTCTGATCTTCTGAAGGACTCAGCCTCATGAACAAGATACTGAAATGCTATCTCTGCCAAGAAACCTTACTGGGCTTTCCTTCTCAAGCAGAAGCACAAAGGGAGAAAGCAGAGCTGAGGGGTGGTGCTGACTGTGTGTGCAGTAGCATTAATATATCTATCCACCACCTTCTTGAAGAAACTTATGCTTGTCTAAATAGTGACTTTTAGAAAGTCTTTTAGGGGTGGGTCTTCCCTCAGAAACTTGGTAAAAGTTGGCTGTCTCATCAAAGTAAATTATCTCATCTCCCTCAGTGACCAGTAGAGAGAGCCAAGCACCTTTAAAAATCAATCAATCCTTGTCCCTGGCACTAATTTCTGAAATAGATGATGTGGGGTTTTTTTCTGCTTGTTGCCTCTTTTTCCCCATTGATAGTAGGGACAATATAGAGGAGCACTAGGAAAAGCAGGATATTAGGCAAATGCATCAGAAAATAGCAGAGAATCCTCTCTTAATATGAAGGCTTCATTGCTTTTCATTCTGAAATGGAGGAGATTTGTTTGTTGCTCTCAGGTCTCTCCTACCTCAGTTTCAATCAACTGTTTATAAAAAAAATGGGAGTTTTTTTTTGCTTTTGTTTTGTGTGTTTGGGGGTTTGTCTTGCTTGGGTTTTGGGGTTAATTTTTGGTGGTGTTTTTTGGGGTTTTTTGGGGTTTTTTTGGGTTTTCTTAATATAGAAATGTACTAAGAAATGCAAATTTCAGGAAGATATTTACCTTTGAAAGAGCTGAGTTAAGCAGGGAGGGAATATAATCAGAAAAGACAGACTTTGCATGCAATGTTCTGCAGTGCAAAAGGATAAATGCTGTAGATCTGGGCCTCAGTGTGCTGACAAGAGCTTACAAGTTTGTGTGTGTGTGTGTGCAGAGAAACACTGGTTGAGGAAAGGTTTAGACTGGATTGTGGGATAGTGATTTGCTTGGAGTAAAGCCTCCTGTATACCATTTCATTATGCTCTAATACAGAACACACCTGCACGGTGATTGGTGCCTTTAGTATCCTCTTGGTCATGCAGAAAAGGTTCCATGCCCTGCAGAGTTGCAGGGTCGTGTGTAAGCTTTCTTCAAAATTGAGCCACCTTTCAGGGAGTTCATATGCTAGTGAGCTCTGAAGATGACAGCTCAAATATATATGATACATATAATTTTTGTTTGAAAAAGCTTTCTCTACCAAGTTTCTACTAAAGCTGTGATTTAGAGTGTGAATAGCGACCAAACCTTAAACACTGGCATTGCAGTCAGGTTCTTAATGATTAACTTTCCAAAAATACATCTTCTTTGTAGTGAGTCTCAGCAAGAGTAAATATGAAAGCATGGTTTGGGGAATTTTTTTGTCATTTGTTTGGTCTTATTGCTATTAAATTGCACCAGTTTAGTCATTTATATATCTAAATCCAGTGAGCCAAATTTTCAGCCTGAAGTTACTGAGTGTAGGTACCTAGACAGCAGCAGTGTGGTGTCATTTTACAGTAGGGAGGACCTCAGTGGCTATGATGAGAGGACAGGATCTCGAAGTATTCAATAATGCCTATCAACAGCTTGTAAGCTGACGTGAAGAAAGCAGCATGTCACATCAAAACAGGTGGAGTATTGTTTACCTGAATTGGGATTTGGGACAGGACTACACAATAATATAGTGTTTGCCATCTAGTTTTCTTCCCTTGGCATGACCATCAAAAGTTATTAAGTGAACTGTAAGTAAATGTGTAAGTAAAGATGATGGGTGTAACTTGTGGGGTTTAATTTCAAATATTGGTGTATATTAAATCAGAGTCTGTGCACTATCTGTTCCTTTCAGCACAGCTCCAATTTAAAGTTCTAAGTATAAGAGAATGCAACATAATATAATTGTGGTCGTTTTATTTTCTTCAATAGAATCAACCATTGCCTGTAGCTGGTTTCAGAATGTTGTGAGCAACTTGAAACTGTTACTGACTGTCTGTTAAAAGAAGTCTCAAGCCTGGCAAATGCCTTTGGAGAGTTTTTGTAATTGACATTATATTTAGCTTTTAGATGGAAAAGCACACACTGTTCAGAACAGCTGGCAGTGACTGAAGTAAAATGAAAGGCATTGTTTTGCAAAATCTCAGGTGAGTACAAAGTAAACAATAGCCTAATTATTTTACCTTAGTCAATTAAAAGTTAGTATGTGTATTAAGAGCTTGATCTTTATTATACTGAAATTAATGGTAAAACTCACACTGACTTCAATAGCAATAACAAAATGCAAGATAAAATCACTCTTCAAAATGAGCTGAAAGAGCTATTGCCTTTAAGTTTCCAACACTATATTTAATTACAAGAATAATGTTTTGAGCAAATGTCTAGTAATCAGGAGCCCTGTATCGTGTTCCTGGAAGAGAAAAGCAAATGCTCAGATTTAAGGACATGTCCTGAATGAAGCTGCTTTCTGGAATTAAAAGATTTATTCTGATCACTGATCACTATTCTCTGTGTCTTTGGCATTATCAGTCAGGGCATAGCCTTGCCAAAGTGGCAGACACTCTTGCCATTGGTGTTAGGGTAATGTCATCTGGGTTAACTCCTTGCAGGTCCAGGATCTTGGCAAATATCTTCATCTTTACAACAGATGAGCTAATGCAGATGCTATGAAGTTAAATAATTTTATATGTTCTGCTGTGTTTAGAGATTAAGTGATATGTAAATGCAAGGATTTACTGTGATATTAAAATATAATTTCAGATGTGAAAGACATCTGGCTTCCTAGGATGCTGGTTCTCTGATTTAGATGTTTTTATTGACTTATAAATGAACTATTTGGTTAAGAGCTGAACACTTTCTATCTAAGCCCTAACTCCCTTTTTTTGCAAGGTGGAGGACAACTGGGGAACATTCCAGTGTAATGTTTTGCCAGCAGCAATCTCTCAAAGTGCTTAGAAGTCTCTGTCTAAAGCTGAGCAGCAGTGAAACAAGGAAAGGATGGTGATTAATAGAGGATTACTTATGCACCTTAAGATAAGATGAAAAGCTGGAGTGATTAGTAAGTTCTTAAATTTGCTAAAGTGCCTTGTTCATATTGCTTTTGCATCCTTGGAGTCTGAAACTTGATTTCAGTCTACTATTTTCTTCCAGAGTTGGAAGTTCCTTCCTCTGAAGAAGTGTGTTGATTCTAGTCTATTAACTGCAGAAGAGCAAAAGTCCTGTCTTATTCCACCTTCAGTCTGACCACAGCCTTTTTGGAAGTTTATGGTCATGTCCGTATCCAAAGGTATGCTGCGCTCTTGCCTCTTTTCTCTTTAGCTTGGTTTTCTTGCATAAACTGCTAGAATATTCTGAAAATGCTCTGTGCTTTCCCTCCACATAAATTGAGAGCTCTGCTTGTATGTCTGCTTGTTTATCCATCCTGGCTCTCACATGGTCCTCAAACAAGGACCAAGGGGGAGCTTTGGATCATGGTTGCACTAACTTCCCACCAAAATGCCCAGGCAATTTCCCTGGCAGCAATGCTGACCAAAACACATTGTAATAATGACACAGAGACCCAAATCGTAGGTAGAAAAGTTACAGCACAGGTCTACTTGGAGGGCCTGAGGTAGCTGATCTGTTACAGTCTTGCAACCTCAGTGATGATTGCTTATCACTCCAAGAGTTTAATAAGGGGCAAAAAAAAAAAAAAAAAAAAAAAAAAAAAAATTGAAATAAATTCTCCACAAGTTATAAAAAAATTAGTCTAGAATGTGCAATTGTACCTTGGTTTGAGCTTCAGCAATGGGTCTTGGGGGCAGCCACAGTTCTGGAAAGGCCCTGATTTTGGGGGAGCCACAGTTCTGGAAAGGCCCTGATTTGGAAGACAAGCAGATTCAGATCTAGATCTAAATTCCAGGGCCTGTATCCACTGCAATATGGCATGTGCTTGATGGAGTACTGAAATAGGAACTGAGAAAGTTAATAAACCGTTTTTTCCCAGTGTTATATCCGTGTTTAATTTCTCTTCATGTGTTGTTTACCTTTACAACATATTTGAAAGTCTGGCATTTTACAGGAATATAATAAGACTGGTAATTAGACCAAGCTGAAAGAATCCAAGCCAAAGTCAATAGTTACCTATTTTCTTTTTCTTTTGTAAGCAGAAGCTTGTCAAGTTCAACAGAAAAATTTTCTTCATTATAATTTATTACAATATAAAAACAAGGTATCTTGAAAGAGTGAACCTGTATGTTTCTTTCCAAAACTGTTTTAGCAGGTGGAGAGAAATTAAACTGAAAGGGATTATATTTTTAACTTAAGCTTTCCCTGCAAAAAAAAAAAAAAACCCACTCCACAAACAAAAACACTAAATGACACAATTGCAAAACTGGGCTCTATTCACAGAAGAGGAAATGCCTGGCTGGGATTCATATCGTCCTCTATGGCTCCTCTATGAGAAACTGGGTCTTGGGCAGGGATAGCTGTGCTGCTTGGGTACCCACATCTACAGGGCTCTGGGACACAGGAAACGAGAGGGGCTGTTACACCTGACAAAGGTACTAGTCTAAGAGATGGAGAATTTCATAGGGTGTTTAAGCATCTTGCAAAGCGTTAACATCTAATAAGAAAGCTTGCGGCCCAAATGCTGCACTTCTGCAAACATTAATACAGGCTGTTGTTAGCCAAGGGAAATACTTTGTGAGGCTCATTAGTTTAATTGGTCCCTGTCATCTAGTTAAAAAGGAGGAAAGAAATGCTCCTGACAAAGGCACAGGCTCTGTGCAAGTGGTGTTTTGCTGCTGTAGCTCTGCTGTGTGCTGGCTGGCTAGCATGGGGTGCAAGCATCCATCTCAGCCTTGTCCTCCATTAGCACAGGGCAGCACCAGGCAACAACTCCCTGGCAAAGTTATGTGCCTAAACCACTTGTCTTGGTTTTGAAAGACAGGTGTCTGCTGAGAAAGGCAGGAGCCTCCCCTGAAATGGAAAATGTAACTCCCCCCCTGCTCCAAATTGCTATAAATTTTAAATTAAGGGGCGCTCAGGCAAAAAATATGGGAGCAGGAAATAACAGTTCAATAGGGAAGAAAATAAAAAGATAAAATAAACAAAGCAGTAAACCAAAACAACACTGACAGAGTCAGAACATGACCTGACACCCTGTTGGTCAGGGTGTTGGTAGCAGTCCCATTGGAATTGTGGCTGCAGTCTTCCTGGAGTGTCAGGTGTGGTTCTGTTGGAGCAGGGATCCTGTAGAAGGGTGTAGTCTTCCTCTGAAGATCCAGTGGAAGAGGCAGCTGTTCCTCTGAGAAATCCAGTGAAGAAGCCATGCTGGTATTCCAGAATCTCAAGATTATATCCAGGTAGGAATGCTTGGCTCCTCCCTCTGGGTGGAGCATCTCACAATGGGATGCTGTAGTTCCTGTCATTTGTGCAGTGGCATTCAATAGCCTGTTATCAGCAGATGTCTCCCTGGAGGGAGGATTGGTTGCGGAAGAGATAAAGAAAACTCCCCAATTAACAGAAGACAACTGCCATATAGATGGCAAATAGAATACAATTTACTTGTCAGTCCAGGACACCGCTACTATTATAACCAGCTTGGGTGTGTGCATGTCTTGGCCACCATGGCACAGGTTTGGAGCACCACCTGCCTGAATGCTGTGGGTGTTGTTGCTGTGAGCAGCCATGGGTGCTTCTCCTACTTCATTACTTCTGAGGGTGAGTGGCTCACAAATATGCTCATCTCTAAAATCACTGTAAGCACAGCTGTGTGGGAAGCAGGATTCAGTAGGGACTGGTTTTGGAGACTAGTTGCATGAATGTCCTGTTGTACAAGCTGGGATAAGCCATGGACCTCTACTTCCTAATCTGTGGTATGGAGCTAATATTTACTTAATGCACAGCCTGTTTAGATGCAGATGTGTACGTCAGGAGGGAAGGCACTGCATGCAGGTGATTACAGCTGTATCTGGCTCTCCACATTTTAGTGGTGACAGAGGTATCAATGGGGGTGTATCGCAGTGCTGGACTGTGCTGGTCTAGGCTGGGCCCTGCTGAACCCAGCCAACAGACATTCAGTGGTGGAGTTAAGATCCATGAAAATTTATTCCTGCAGGTGTTTCTTAATTGCAACCCTGGCTGCTGTGAGGTTTTACTGAAATTTTCTTCTGTTGCAGTACCTAAGTCTACTAAGGTGAAATGTGTAGTCTGCTTTCTAGATCATTTAAGACCCATGGCAAAATTAACTATATTGGTTTGGTTAATTGTCCACATCCAAGAAACATTGGTAGCTCCCCTGGGTCACTACAGCAATTTCTTTCATGCTGTAAAATGTTTACTTCTCTAGAGTGAAAATGTCTAGGCTGTCATTATGTGACTCTACAGCTCCACACCAATAAAGGCTACCTGTGCTTTTATTTTTTTAAGCTAGAAAGAAACTGCCAAACTCACTGGAACAGTCCCAGAGACTTATTTCTATATTTTTTTCATTGTTTTTGATTTGATGTTACATGATTGATAACAACATTTTGTGCTTTGGAAATCTTGCTCTCTTTGACTGTTCTGGTTAGCCTCTGCTTTTTCCACAGAAGAAGCCAGCCAAGCTAAGTCTTTCCTTTTGATTCATGCAGGTTGTAAGGTCAGTTCTGGTAGGTATGATTTGCTAATGAATTTGTGCTCCATTTCTCAGCTGGATGGTTCTGCAAGTAGGCCTGGACAAATACATTTGAATTTAAGGTGACATTGAGACTTAGGTAAAAAACATTTGAGAATAGATTCAGAAACCTGTACGAAGCAAAATAAATATTAAGTAGAATAAATGAAAATGCTTTGATATATGTGTATGTATATATGTCTCTATGTTACAGATTACAAAGTTTATATAATTTCATGTATATCAGCATCAATCTGAGGGATTCTTCTGTGCTTCAAAGAAAAGGGAAAAGTAAAGCACAAGCAAAGGAAGGGAAAGGGTGCCATGTGGCAAACAGCATTTCCAGTGCATTCATTCCTAACGTGGTAAGAGCCAGCACAGAGTTGACTTAGAGGGTCACTATTGGGTGTCATTTCCCATGTGCACAAAGGGGGTGGGACAGAGCATGGGCAGAACTGAGTGCATCGCTCCCCTCACAGCACCAGCCACCCCAACTGGGTCATCTTAGCCAGGTGAAGTCTAGTCTGGACTAAGTTTCCTACTCCTGAAATGGGAAATTATTAGAAATTAGAAATTAATAGAATTTGAATCCCAGGCTGCAGCTGATCTTTCAGCACCCACCACAACTATGCCTGAAACTGGGAGTGGATTCTAGAGGCAGGACCTCTCTGTACCTAGGCTGTTTTTACATCTTTGACTCAGCACTGGAAAATTTTTCTTTTGTTCAGAAAAGGTCAGTCCAACAGATGATGCAAGGGTAGGGGCCAAGGCACCACCAGGGACTTCAACTTTGGATGAATTTTCCATTTTTGACTTTTACTTCGTGTGTGAGTGTACTCAAGCTATTTCTTTTATACATGTCTCCATCCACCCTGATGTGAAACACAGTGTGCAATACTGCTTCATTTTTACTGTGATTTGTTTGTAAACAGCTCAAGGGGAAAAAAAATCTGTCTCATTATTTCCCTGGGCAATGTGTTCTCCATCCTTAAAAATTATTTTTGGTCCTCCACAGTGTTAATTAGAAATGATTAATGAACTGATGGCTTTTCAAAAGACAGTAGCATTGTGTGATCCTTGGGATGTAAATGTACCTCAGAGGTAGGAGGCAAATAGGAATATCTATGAGGGAAACTCCAAACTTTATCTCAGCATTCTCAGTGGTTCTGACCAATAGAGATTTCATAATTCATTTAGGGTACATTGGGAGTGTTGGGCTCACCCAAAACTAAGCTTAATTCCAATGGTGAGAAGGCAGCATCTCGTGGATAGAACTGGGAATTGGCTTTGACTCACTCCCGGATCAGAGGACATTCAAAACTACATTCGCCACTTCCAAGGAAGGAATCCAAAATACCGTATGGGAGTAAGAGATATTTTTTGCATGTCATACTGAAGTAATTTTCCTGCAGAAAGGAGAAATCCAGAAAATTTACTGAGAGTCAGAGATGGATGGACAGAAAGGCATGGAAAAATAGGGGTGTTATGCTAGAGTAGAGAAAAGGGGGACAACAGTGAGAGGAGACAGTAGCTCTTACTATATAGGATGTGTCTATATTTTGTGTTAAATGCAAAGTGAAAAATATGTGTTACTGTTATCACCACCACTGTTACCTAGACATATTTTTTTCCTTTTGCCACTTATTAAAGGAATGAATGGCATTAAATGAATGAATGGCTGGAGACATGAATGAATTCTGAGAAAGAAAATGAGAGGCTGTGATTCAGGAACAGGCTCCAAACAGAATGTCCCTCTTTGCTGCTGGTGCATAGTGCCAGAGCAAGAGAAGATTCCATGTTTTTAGTTTGTTGCTACTTTCTAGTCCTCCTGACAGAGTCCAGAATCTTGACTCTGAACGCCCTACAGGTTGTGAGAATCTGGCATTTGAAAAGTAAATACTGTCGCACCTAATTCCTAATCACTGAGATCTGTTACAGGTTCTTAATCCTTCCCATGGAATTAAATCTTAATCCCTTTAACCTCAGATTTAAGGTAATAATCTGAGTTTTCTGGAAAATGTCTGATATAAAACTACCTTGATTTTGAATAGAACACACCACAGGTATAGTTATTTAACTTGCTCAAGAACACCTGGCCAAAATTAATTTTTTGGAAGAACTGGTAATTCAATTTCTTTGCAATAATTTGCATGTAAATAGGCATGCAAAATCTTAATTTTAGTTTCTCTGAAATCACAGCATTCAGTGTAGATACATTAAGGTATTTCAGTGGAGCATAGATAAGCTCCAGAAATATTGAATCCTTTTGATTACCACTTTTCTGCTATCATTCAGCAACTAATTCAATTTTTTATGATCTTGCCAAGATGTTCAAACTACATTAATTATGTTAAATTCTTTGATTGGTATTTAAACTGTTTTCTCTTCCTTTCAAAAATGTTGCCACTTTAACTGCCCAAGTGTAAAACACAGTTGCAGAAGGGTTTATGTGTGGTCATGAAATACACTAATCTTACCTGTTCATTCAATGTAGATTCAGATTTGTGTGTCTGAAAATAGTATAATGTGTCTGAGATTAGTATAATGACATACTCTTGCTTGTGTTATGCAGAAGTAGTGCATTAAAGATATGCATGGAGATTAGTGTCAAAACCTCTTTTCTTTTAGCGGATAATATCTTGAGGACGGGGGTCTTAGGTTCAAAATAGGATAATTGCAACTAATTAAATGTAATTTAGAAAGCAACATCTTCTAGAAACGGTGGTAAGGTAATGTGTAGTCCAATACATCTAGCAGACAGATTGTTGACCGCAAAGCAATTAATTTGATCTTTCAGTGTCATTTATCTCTGTTCCCACATAGCAAAGGAAACACGGAACTCCAATGACCCACAATGTCAGGAAACAAGTAGGTGCTGGATTTTTTTGGTAATATTATCAGTCTCTGACTGGCTTCTTTAAGCAATCTTTACTCACAAGGTTCATGTTTCATTCCTTCTGGCACTTAACCACAGGACCAGATCTCATATAAATAGTATTCAAACAAGTTTCTTACCAAAATTAAAAGGTAGTTTTAAGCATAGAAATGATGTACATTCAGTTGGTGTGGCAAGTCTTTAGTAGCAGGGGTGCCAGGGGTGACTTCTGACAAAAGATGCTTAAAGCTTCCTGGGTCTGACAGAGCCAATTCCAGCTGGCTGCAAGACAGACTTGCCAGTGGCCAAGGCCGAGCCTGCCAGTGACAGTGGTAGTGTCTCGCTGTTAAAATACTTAAAAAAGGGGTAAAAAAACTGCAAAACAAAACTACAGGTAAAGAAGAGAGGAGTGAGAGTATGTGAGAAATGACATTGCAGACACCAAGCTCAGTGAAGAAGGAGGGAGAGGGCTTCTTCCAGGTGCTGGAGCAGAGATTTCCCTGCAGCCTTATGGTGCACACTGTGGTGAGGCAGGTGTGCCCTGCGGTACATGTACTTCCACAGGGAGTAGAAATTCACCTGCAGGCTCCGGAGAACCCCATGCAGGATCAGATGGATGCCCAATGGAGAAGTCTGGAGCAGGCTCCTAGCAGAACCTGTGGATCCATGGAGAGAGGAGCCTGTGCTGGAGCAAGTTTTCTGGCAGGTCTTGTAACCCCACAGGGGACCCACACTAGACCAGCCTGTTCCTGAAGGACTGCACTCCATGGAAGAGCCCCATGCTGGAGCAAGTCATAAGGAGCTGTGGCAAGGACTCACTTTGGAGAAGTTAATGGAAAACTGCTTTCTGTCAGATGGATCCCATGCTGGAGCAGGGCAAGATTGTGAGGAATCCTCTCCCTGGGGAGGACAGAGTGGCAAAGACAACTTGTGATGAACTGACCACAGCCCCCATCCCCCAGTCAGGAGTAAAGTTAAGGTTTGCAAGAAGGAGAAGTGGGGAAGGTGTTTTAAGATTTGTTTTTATTTCTCCTTATCCTATTCTAATTTGATTGATAGTAGGTAAAGTAATTTTTTCCTCAAGTCAAGTCTGTTTTGCCCATGACAGTAACTGGTGAGGGATCTCTCTCTGTCCTTATCTTGACCCATGAACCTTTTTGGTACATTCTCTCTCCTCTTGTCCAGCTGAGGAAGAAGTGATAGAGTGGTTTTGGTGGGCACTCGTTGTCTTGCCAGGGTCACCCCACCAGAAGCAAATATTCTGTTCAACTAGTTCTCATTAACAATAGCCTTGTTAGAAACTTTATCCAGTTTTATTCATTTTGTAGCATATCAGTTATTAATCAGATTCATTCAGTGATCTATATCTTTATGTGGCAGGATAAGCACTTGTGCTAACATACGGGAAAATCTGGAAATGAGCAACTATGGGAAAGGGATAGTGGCACTCCCTTCTGTGGTATCATTGTCCTTGTGTTTGCCCTCCTTGTCTGTATGCAAAAGGACAAGCAGAAGGTGGTCTGGCTCAGCCTAGCCCATGGCTTGATTACAAGAAGGATATTCTTTCTTATGCTGGACATGTCAGATATCTGCTAGAACAAAAGGTTGAATCTGGGTTTCCTAAGCATGTCAGACTCAAGAGGAAGGGAGTGTAGTATTCACATGCCCTCTGAATGGAGAGAAGCAGAGAAAAGAATGATCAAAACAATTCTTATCTCATTTGCTGCTCCTGTGTTTTTGAACATGTCAAATGTGTTGAAAAATTATTTACCCAAAGTGATCACTTGATTAGATTCTAGTGATAGTGTTTAAATTCATTCAGCAATTAGATCCACGTGTAAGTATCAGGACTGTCAGCAGACAGTCACAAGTTTTCAGTAGTTAGTTAGAAGAAATTAGAAGTAAGTGTGATGTAGTATAGTTATAGTATAGTATAATGTAATATAATATCATTTTAATAAAGCGAGTCTTCAGCATTCCAAGGCCATGGAGTCAGATGCCAATCATTCCCAGAGCTGGGGTTGCCTGCTTTTACTATAAGGGAGTATTAAACAAAGCTGCAGAGAGAATAGGCAATGACACAGACCTGCTCAATGTCCAGTTATGTCTTTCTTTACAGACAATGTTATATGCTGGGATAAATACTTGAAATAGCCGCTAAATAGGAGGCCGGCAGCAATCAGTTGTCTTTGTCAAAAAATAACATCTCCCTGAATTGCAAGGAGGAGGTGAGTTACTTAAAGTATCTGACTTAGGAAAAATCACAGGGAGAAAAGGTGAGATAAAATTACAGAGCCATGAAAATAGCTGCTTAACCCCTCATTTTCCTACTTCAAGGTACAAACTGTACTCTACTGCAATAAGTCCATAGCTGAGAAAAACTGGACTGCCTCTGTAAAGCCAGGTAGTTATCAAAAGCTCTCCCATAACAGACCCTTTAACAACTCAACAAAGCATAATTAGAGAGGAAGCAAAATAACCCATCACAAATCAGCTGGTTTTATGCTTCTTTTCCTGTCCCATTATTTGTGCCCCAGGGCATTTTAAAGACTGATCACTGAGATTTCTGGAAGAGGTGAGAAAGGTGCAACATTGGCAAGCCAGACAAGTGTACGGTCATGTTTTGGATGAAGAGCAGCAAGATATTGAGATGTACTGAAAACATCTAACAGTTCCTCTCTAAATGGAATGTTCTTACTTCTGATATATAGAAACCAAGAAACAATATATTTTGCAGAGCGAAAAAATATTCCTTTTTCTAGGGCAGAGTGTCTCAAAGATGTCTTCAATAATCTCAGTGAAGATCCAGGATCCCAGGAGATCATTTGCAGCTCTTTAACAAGGAAGAGGTAAGTTGCCTTTGAAGAGTTTACATAACCACCTGAAAGATTGGTGCTTTTTAGAGTTTTTAGTTGCCTATTTTTCTCTCTTTTATGTTTGCTTTTCTGGAAGTACATTTAAGTAACTTCTGTTTGACAATTGGTTCACCAACAATCATGATTTTAAAGAATAGTGCCATTTACTCTTATACCAGCCAAACACCATATTATTGAACACTTTTTAGAGAAGTGTTTTATGCTAGTGTTAATTAGGATTCAGCAAACCCAACTACCAGAAACATTGTCCCCGAGCTGAAATACAGATGATCTTCTGTAATACGTGTGTAAACTGGTATTAGTGTCAGTGTCATGTGAACACCAGAGCAAGACAAGAAATACTGCAAAGACAAATTAATTAATGTTGGTGATCTGCTCCAATGTTACAGTAAAAGGAAAAGCCTTTCTTTGAATGGGTAGAAAGTTCTGCCCTGGGCTGCAGGTTCAATTTGAAATGATGGGTTAACAATCATTTACCATCTCTACAAAAATAGCTGGAAGCCTTCCTCTTTTTCTACTCATCTGATTTCTGACACTAGCCTAGGTCTAAGAATCATAGAAAATTTTGGTATTCATTTATTTAGATTTTGGAGGACCATACATTTTCAATTGGTCCTGAAGTGCATGACCTATTTCATTGCAAGATGTTTTAAATTTTCTGAACCATTTTCATAGGGCAGTCCTTCACACAGAGTGACTGGAAAGAAGACTCGTTTAAGTAGAATGTGTTCCTTTCTTTTTTGCTCTTCTGCTAGATTCTGGTAGGAGTTTGCATTCCTATTTCAGCTGAGGCTTGTCTCAGCTTAGAAGCCCTCATTTCATTGTGACAGCCTCATAAAATCTGGGGTGTTGTGCCCTGTCACAGAAGAAAAAGGATTGCAATCAGTGTTGTGGGCACATACATGGGTCTTGGAGAAAAAAAACAGGGAACACTGCTGTGGACTTTGGGAGTATAAGCCATGGGAGGGGCAGCACAGCAAAGGAGAATGGTGAAAAGACCCCCTAGAGTAGGATCAAGCCTGCCCCACAACCTCACACTGAGCTCCAGTGTGCCCTCCTGCTGCCCCACCACCGGGGCAGTGGGGATGATGAGGGCAGCAGGGGCACAACCCCACAGTGGGGCACACTGAAGTGTAGGGCGGCAGGATTGCCCCAGAAGGGACTGCTAGTGAGCCCAGGTGCAAGGTCCCCCTGATGTCTCAGACTGGAACGAGATCCTGGTGTTAGGCAGCCCAGAGTGGGGGATTGGCACCAGGGCTAGGCGACGTAAGCTTTATTGGTCCACACGAAAATTAGCTTTTCGCAATCCAAGTTAGTGTATACCAGCTGCCTCATTAGCATTAAGTAGATAACATGATGGGGGGAAAAGTCATGGGAAAACCTACCAGAAGTTGAAAGTGTTTTGTCTTGTTCTCTTTTTAACTGGAGACCTGCTGGAATCCAGAAATGACATTAAACTTCCTTTTAGAAGAGGTAATTGAAAAGAAAAAGGCAATAAAGGAATGAACAAATGAAGCCTTTTCTTACTGCTGTATGAATAAAAAATGTTATTAATAAGCCCTTTCATTTCAGGCTTCCACTCCGCAGTCACACATTTTGAATGTATAACCACACAAATGAAAATGTTTACCTCTTAAGTCCTTCACACTACTACAGATGTTTATGAAAATAGAGAAAGGGAACCAAGAAGGCATGGACACAGAGTGACAGAGGACAGTGAGAATAGAGATTTAATCAAAAACCCTTTGAAAATTACTCTTTTGTTTCTCAGTTTTCAGTCTTTATATTGCATAACCAATTGTTTTATAAGAACAGACAGTCTTATTTTGCTGGTTTAATTTTTAAAATTTTATTTCAATATACATTTGTAGGTGATTAAAAGGAAAATCTAAATTGCAGCAGTGAGAGCAGCATCCATGTGTTTTGGTTCAAATCCAGCTGTTAAGGTCTGGAAAAGCCAGAAACAGCAGCAGGCTGGCAAAAAAGGGGTGATAAGCAAAGAGAAAATAAATCAATATCGTGCCAAATACAATTTCACCCTACAGAGCCTTTCTCTCTTTGCATTTCTGTGAGGAAACCAGTATCTTCCTGTATAATTTTTGGGTTTATATATAAATCTGAGTTTTTGTAAGATTAGTCTATGTCTTTAAGGACATGCTGACTATTCATTTTGGATAGTCACAGTGCGATGAGAATATAACAAGTGTTCAGGGGTGGCAAATGTTGGTTTCTGTAGTAGTCTTTTGAAAAAAATATTGAACAGAACTGATTTTGTCTCTTTGGTACCCTCGGCATGGTTAAAAGGAGGTGTTTGAGCATGCATGTCATTGACTAATGCTGAAATTAAGACCGATTTAAGAGAGTTTCCTCAGACCCCTGATGGTCAAAGAAAAGCAAGCTCTATAAATCTAATTGGCTATGCACTACAGTGAGTTTATCCCTATTGTTAATTGTATTAACCTACAAAAGGACTCAAGGATTAATTAGAAATAAAGACCAGGAGATGAACTGAAGATTCTCAAGGGAGGTACTGTCACGTATTATCCTTGAACTGTATAATTATCAAAATCCGTACTGTTTTAGAGTGGGGTGCTCACCTGAATGTAACCTTAATTGCCTCTTTTATTCTTAGCTCCATGTTTTTGTACAGATTGCTAATCATATTTCAAACCAGAACCACCTGCTGAAAACCTGCAGAAACAAAAGTGGAAGGATTCTTAATGTCCTCATTTGAGAGGAGGTTATAGCACAATGTTATTAAGATCAAACTGCCTCGTGCTTGAAATCAAGAACAAACCACTCTTCTTTGACAAAAAGGTAGGATTTCCCTCAGCTTGTACTCAGATTTTCCCTTAGGTTAAGCTTTAGTCAAAAGAGAAGTGGTGCCTGATTAAAAGGTGGGATAAATGAACTCAAGTGCTTTCTGAAGGGAAATACAGACCTCAGAGCTCTCATTTTGATGAGTGACTGTAATACTATACAACGTTGGGCTTGTCCTTAGCACTGATCTATCCTAGTCCTGAGCACTACCTGACACCTGTGAAAGGCCACAATAAACACCAGCTGGGTGTAATGGGAAGGTACCAGGGACTGACTTGCTCTGGAAAGATCTGTTTTCCGCCCCTGTCACTTCCCGTGGGCTTTCAAAAGCTTTCCTCCCAGTCTGTGGCTGCCTTTTTGTACCAGTGTATATATAAGTAGCATCCTTACAAAGTGATCGTGCTCCCTTTTAAAAAAGATGTGTTAAACATAAAAGTAAGAAATTCTGAAATACATATTGATAAGCTCAAAAAAAAAAAAAATAAAGGCAGCAAAGTACCTTGCAGGCAGTCTTAAAAAAAGGTGGTAGAATAAACCTTTAGATCTGTTTCTTTCATCCAAGCTCCCATTGCAATGACTGAGAAACCTTGTTCATTCATGTCAATGCAAATATGTGACTGTTGTGTTTGAATATAAAACAACTGGTATTCTTTCAGCCTTTTTTTTCTTTTTTTTTTTTTTCATGCCTACAAGATTATGATGTATTTTACTACTTCTGAGAAGGACTATTACTACTATACAGCAAAATTAAATTTTTATATTATTCTGAACTAAATCAAGTAATATTCCTTTGTCGTCCCTGTATTTAAGCCTAAATATTAATTGAGAATTCTGGATATTTGGGGCCCTGATCCAACACTCACTCCGTGCCAATGTTGTGCTTGATAACAGGGGAAACTCTTGCAGCCCAGCAGTGATGAATCTTGATGTTCTCAGCTGTCAAACAGACCTGAGCAGTGGCCCAGAGTGAAACAGTCTCAGCAAGCACTGCTTTTCCAGCAGCAGCTGTGAGCCTGCCCACTGCTTGATGTGTAACGCATTTGTCATACATCCTGGGCTGAAAGAAGTCAAACAGAGTAAAAATCTATTGTCTGAAGCTTCAAGCAGAAGGGAGGTGACTACTTAACTTCTCTCCTGATGCTGATGTGAACACAGCATGTACTGTTCATAGGTGGTGACTGATAAGAGGATCTGTGGTGGGGCTCCTTACCTGAGGTGAGGTTTTTATTGTAATACTAGGTAGGCAAACATTATTAGAGGGGTGGATTTGAAATTGCAGTGCTTGAAGCTGTTTTAGAAAAACATATTAAAGCAAAGTGATTGGGAAGGGAGGGACAGACAAAGAGAGTGGATTTTAGCCCATTCTTTTAGAGGGATCAAAAAAAGCCCTTCTCAAGCAGAGCAACCTTCTTGAGTAATCAATGGCTCTTTTGGGCCATTGGCTTCAGCTGTTTGGATAACATTGTGTCTTACTAAGACTGTGTACTAGTCAGGTGGCAATAAGGACAATCAGCTGGCAAGAGCTATGATCCACAATTTTTACTGTAATTATATAGACAGGTACCATCTCTGAATTTCTTTTCCTGCTTTGTCTCTTTGTACTCATAGAATGACTTGGGGGCAGATGAAATGTCACAGTGCACATGACTGAAATGTGTGAAAACTTAATTAACAGAATAATTACACAGTAGACATGAGATCTTGTCTCTGTGAAAATCTGGCAGGAAACTTGGGCCCTATGGAATATGAGTCCACACATATAGTCAGTGGAAAAGCCATTAGTCACAAAGTGGCTGCATCTGCTGGAAAGAGTTAATCAGGTCCCTAACTTCAAAGAATATGGTATGCCTTAAAATACCCTTCTCCAGATTTCTCAGGCATGCTGTAAATGAATATGTGATTTTCTCCCAGCTACCAGGGTAAATCTGCATAGCTCAATTAACTGCAGTTGATTTATGCCAGTTACACCAACAGAGGATCTGGACAGAACCTAATAGCATCTCTGTATCTAATAGTCCAGCACAGCATATGAAAATCGAGCATTATTCTGCATCAGCTATCCCTTTGCAGCTAGGATGAAGAGCAGAAGGATTTGCGATTTATTAAATGAACTCCTCCTCTACAAAGTTGAATCTATGCTGCTTCCCATGAGTTTCTACACTGGAAGGCCATGAGTTTCTTCTGCATATCATATATTTTCTGTGAAAAATATTAAGATAATAAGACAGTCAGTGTAATTTTCTTGATATCTGGTTAGAGACATATTGCCTAATCATTTTACTCTTATCAATCAAAATTCGCATCATGCCAGAAATTGATCACCTTCCTTTTTATTTTCTAGCTTCCTAAATTATTTTTATTTTTGCCTGCTATCAGACTGAACTCCTAAGAATTAATTTGGAAATAAATGAGTATAGATATTAGTTGCAGTTCATTTTTTTAAGCAGAATGTGAGTATAAATCTAGAAATTTTTAGTATTCCTCTTTCATGTTATTATACATATAGGGCAATATTTAGGCCACTGAGTTGAAGCAAATCTTGAAGTGTGATTATCTTCTCATTGAAATGCTCTCTATTGTGCCTATTTGTTTGATGTGTTTTTCTTGTACGTTGTATTTCTGATGGCTTTGGGGTAAGATAATCATTATATGTCACCCATACTATCTCTTTTAATCTCTAGAAGATTAAGCATGTTTATTTAAAAACCTCTTTGATAATGTCTTTACTAACTCAGCTATTTTATAAAATTAGAAATAATGAATCAGGGAGATGTAATTTTGATAACGCCATTTACACAACTCCTATGAGGCTAGCTAGAAAAATAACTGGGGTAAGGAAGTATCTGACATACACACAGTGAGAATGGGAAAATATTGTAATTTCATGTAGGTTATGAGGCACTGGAAAAATACAGTCAGCAGAAGCAGTTCAGTTAATGAATCACATTCTTCAGGGACTGCTGGACTCAGGAGATGGGTCATGGGATCAGGAATGGTTCCTTTAATCTCTTTGTCACTGGTTCAAGTCAAATCTCTGGGTCACTGGTTCAAACCCAATATGGATAGATAGTAATTAGAAGTCACTGTTATTTGAGGGCTCTGAGATGAACCTTTTGAAATGGAACTAGTGAAGGGACATTACAAAACAAACCACCCCAAAAACTAGAATATGGGGAAAAATCACATGCTTCGTAGCCAGTAGACAAAAGTCAGAGACTTACTGGAGCTGGGTGTGGGCTGCTTGTTGTTGTTGATGTGAAACTGATACAGATCCATAACTCAAGGGACACACACCTGAGCTTGTGAAAGAGCGGGGGCAGAGACAATCACTGGTGATGCTTCCCGAAGCAAAGGTTACATATTACTGGGAAGTCCATACTACTCCCCTGCAATTACAGCTCTTGCCTGGTGCTCCATGGAACACCACTCCTCCTCACTCATCTTGAGGAGGTTGTTAAAGTCCCGGGCTCTGGGAGCTCTCTAATGCCCAGCTATCCTCCACAAGCTGGTAACGTCAGGGCATGCTTTATCCTGTGGGCTTCCTGAGTGTCAGGATTGACACCATGCAGTGGTGTGAGGACTAATGTTGGCCATCATGTCTGGAGTTTCAGACTACAAGAGGGAACTGAGAAGTCCCAGTGCCCCCATGGTTTGTAGTGTTTAAGTTATCCCAAAGGAGAGGTGCAGAGGGGTCATTGTGAGTGGAAAGGCACATAGAGGACATCACATGCCAGTCAGCACTTTGGCAGGCTACAAGAAGAGGTGCTTTAGAAACAAAATCTGTAAGTCTGAAATATACTCAGATTGGACAGGTAAACTGCTTATACCTGACACTAAGGGATTCAAATCTATACTTTTTTTTTTTTACTATCAGTGCAAAATCAGAGTAAAGGGACTTCTGAGTCAACCATGGGATGATACTGTCTGCTTTCCCAAAAAACACCTCGTAGCAGGAGCCATGTTAGTTGGCACAGAAATATGTTTTTTTGATTATATATACCTTTGTTTTCTGAAATTTTGTATGCTTCTAATCTGTAAATCCAAATCCTCTGGAATTTATATAAGACTGTGGAAGAAGCTTTTGTTTTTGTGAAGTACAGGGCTCTGTAGCAACCAAATCAAAGACTGGAGAGATTAATCTATTTCAGCCATCTGAAACTGTGATTTGGCATACAGTGAGAACAGCTGAGACAGTGGGGGAAATTTCACACAGATTCTGTCCTGCTAGCTGTTAAAGCAATTCCATTTGTGCTCTGCATTTCGTTGTTTCCTAGAAAATAAACTCACCAAGCTACCCAGATTAGCTGGTCCTGAAAAACTGAGGATATTTTTAAGGCAAGAGGTATTCTTATTCCCTAAGGAGAAGAAAAAAGGAAGGAAGAAAAAACACCCAGGAGAACAGTCAAACAGGAGTTGGGCATACTGTTAATTAAATACCCCAGTTCATGCCTTGACACAAATGTGAATTACCTATCCTCATAGCAGAGAGAAAAAACCCTGGCTCATATTCAGATAGGTGAAAACACAAAATTTCCAATAAGCAAGACATATCTCACCAGGCTCTGGGAATGCTTTCCACAATGACCTGCATAATTAAAGTCTGCATTGCCTTCTTGGCCCAAGAGAAGTTAATGGCAAAGCAGCTGCTAGCATCCATTAACTGTATTTGAGTGCTGTTTATAGGGAAAGACCAAGGTGCCCTTTTGGGCACTGGGAAGTAAGATATAAATACCTCTTAGCCATTATCAACATGCATGCTTGTAACAAACTGCCTTCAGGGACTGAAAGCTGTAGTCACATATTTCAGGTGTCACTGACAACCATATGTGTAAAATGAGCAAGCTATCACAGGAACTATACTGTAGGGGTATATTTTTGCATTTGAATGTGAAATGAGGCCTTCACTTAATGACCAAGTTTCTTGGACCTTTCAGTCACGTTGCCTGAAACATCAAAACAGAGAAATTATCAATGAGTTTTGTGTCAGGGAATTAATATGAATGTTTTGGAAATAAAGCATTTTTATTTTCATATTTCTCCTAGAAATTTTATATTTTTCCTATTCTAAAAAAAGATTCCCTGTATGTCAAATCTCAGTTTTTACTAAGTCTTCCTTGTCTAGACAATCCTTGC